AATATAAATTTCAATAGTGGGAGTGGTCCCTACTCGCAAATCAATAGTCAGTTGTAACAAAAACTAATCTGTTCAAAAGTACGTATTCTGTCAAGGATTACAAACCCAAATGGAGATTACAAACTCAAGCTCATAAGGATATGCATAACAGAATAATTTGTTACAGAATTAGAGATAAGAGTTTATGAGTTTACATCTAGAAAACTCAATACGGAAGCCACGTGGTACGTTCGACTTCTGAAAAGCATCCGAAAATCGAAGCAGTTACTTCTGGGTTTTTGACATTTGAAAGCTGAAACATTCGACTTCCAAGATGTTCGAAAACCGAGCTTCCACTGTAACTTTTTTTTTGTATTGGATCAGACTGAGGCGTGAGCTTCGTTGTATATTTTGTGGCTTCTTCAGCTTGTACCTACAGTATACAGCAATAAGGAAAGGAGGTATATACAATGTGAAAATGATGATGATGGTTAACAACGGAGCTACCTTTCACTTTATCTATTTATTTATTTATAAAAAATTTATTAGTTTTTCAACATATCATTTTCAACAATAATTAAACGTACTTTTACATCTTATACAGGTTTTTTTTTTTTACTTCCATCGATCACATCTGAAAACTTTCCAATCTATCTGCTTGATTTACATTTCTTATTTTCACTATTACATTTAAATCACATAACTGGTATCTCTCTTCTTTCTCTTCTTTGTAATGTTTCATACATTTCTCCTTACAAAACCTCTAGCGTAATTTGTTGATTACAGTTGCTCTTCAAATAATTTGTATATTTCTTCCAATCTTCGGTGAATCTCTGGTAACGCAGGTTTCGAATCCTTCCTGTCATTTTATCCAATTCTGCATAGTTCATTAATTTTGTCTGCCATTCTTCTTTCGTCGGAATTTCTTCTTGTTTCCATTTCTGAGCCAACTATTGCAAGAAATTGGAAATTGCAAGAAATACCGACAATAGAAGAATGGCAGATGAAGATGATGGACTTTTCGGAGCTAGCCGACCTGACTGGAAGAATCCGTGACCAGAAAGAGGAGGAAACACAAAAAGACTGGAAGAAATTTAAAGAATATTTAGTAATATATTTTAATATAAGATAATTAAGAAATCCCTAGAAGTAACAGATTAGGCTGAGGGATAGAAAAAGATTATTAATAAAGATTAATATGGATTACAATTGGAAGTAAGGTTAAGAAGTTTGTAATGAAAGAAGATGCTGATGTTATAAATATGAAATTGGGAACTGCTAAATATGTAATATGATGAAATCCAGATTAGAGGGTGTCGAGGAAGTCTTTTAGCAATGTAAATACACCAGGGGACAAGAAGAAAAAAAATCTTCTTTATTTTTTGTGTGTGTGGTTCCCCCCCGCCGAACTTTTATTTATTTATTAGATCTTTTATTAAGTACAAATTAGAAAACATACATATTTACAACAAAAGAAAATACAAAAGAAAAAGAAAATACATATAACCAAGGAAAAAATTAGAGAATATTTTGTCTCTTTTCATATTTACAGTTATTTATACCTCTATAAAATGCTATTCACAATAAAGGAGTGAAATGAAAGATAAGATATCAGAAAAAAAGAAAAAAAGAACAAAGAAAAAACAAAGAAGTAAAAGAAAAAGATCATAGGTGAAAATTTTTTAAAGTAGATAAGTACTCACAATCCATAGCCATTTCCCATCTATATTTATATTCAATTGTATAATTTCATCTTGTCCTTATCTACCTTAAGGTTTTTTTTATTTTGTGTGTTTTTTATTGTTGTTAAGTTTTTATGTTGTGTCAAATGTAATGTTTTTCTTTTGTGTTTTTGTCTATGTGTTATAAGAGAAAACTAATAATTTGGGGGGGGGGGCGGAATAAATACTCTTGCCGCTGTTACTTTCCACTTTAAAAACCAGCCGCTCATTCCCTTTTTGACTGGTTCTTAGCAGTTTTGCGGTCGGCTCACATTCCTGCACCTGTGACCCTGCCGGCCTCACTAATAAGGGGCCTGGCAAAAAATCCAGAAAAATCCGCCTTGTGCAAGCGGAAATATTCGCGCCAATGGATCCCCAACAATGGACTTTTCACAATGGGGAAAATGTTTCAAATGGTGTGGGATGGACAACCGATTGATGAGGAAATGTCTAAATACCACACAAGCAGAGCAGGATGAGTGCAGGGTGAACGAATAACCTCCTTGCAAAAGAAAACAGGGGGGGGCGGGATGTTCAGTGAAGACTAGGGATGCTCCAACATCCATGTAAGCTTTGCACAAGCAAATCAGGATGGAGACTCAATAAACCTGTTGTTTTTGGTTTTTTAATATGTATTTTTATTTTTATTTTGCAACACAAAAACACATGCTAATAAAAAAGAAAAAGACAGAAAAAGAAAAGGAAAAAAAGAAAAGGCAATACAATATCAAAGGAAAATACAAAAATCTATACTAAACAAATATTAAACAATGTGTATATACCATATTTCAATTCTTCCACTTGCCTTTACTTTCATCTTTAGTAAACTGTTTCCTTCTCATTTCATTTCCACCCCTTTTTCTTTCTGTTTTTAGCTTTTACCCCATAATTCATTTTGCAAAAGTTAATCAAAACAAGTCCAACTATTAATTTGAGGGCACTGCTTTTTAAGGTAATTTCTATATTTCCCCCATTCTTTTTGAATTTTTTGTTTGGTCCGACCCCTAATCACACCTGTCATTCTAGCCAATTCTATATAGTCAAATTATTTATCTTGCCATTCTTTTTTTGTCGGTATAATTTATTTTTCCCATTTTGGGGGGCAATTAATGTTCTCGCTGCCACTGTGGCGTAAAGAAATATTTTCTTATTTCCCCTCGTTATGTCCATATCCAGTATTCCCAATAAAAAAAGCTTCTTATTTTCTGAGCAAAACTTTGTTTAAACATTTTCTTTAGCCCTGTTATCTTTGGTCAGGATTATTTCTGGAGAGCTTCTCCCAAACAAGACAGGAAAACAGTCAGCCAAGCTAATAATCAGGGCCGTCTTTAGCAGATGCGGCACCGGGGTGCAAATATCCGCCCAGTGTCCCCGAATTACCACAATATTGTTGGGGTGGCTGTAGCTGCGCACTGCCAGCCAAGGGGGGGTGGGTGGGCTGCAACTCTTCACCATGCCGCTGTGGGAGAACAATCCCTGCAGAGGCTTGGGAGTGAAGTTGCGCCCCTCCCAAGCCTCCTCGGGAGGAGAGCGCCTGTCTCATGGAGGACCTTATGGTCTTCAAACAAAAACATCTTGGAGGTCCCAGGCCACAGAGAGGCTAGGCTGGCCTCAACCAGAGCCAGGGCTTTTTTGGACGTGGCCCCGACTTGATGGAACGCTCTGTCACAAGAGACCAGGGCCCTGCGGGACTTGACATCTTTCCGCAGGGCATGCAAGTCAGAGCTGTTCCACCAGGCCTTTGACCAAGGCACAGTCTGACCCCCTCCTTTGGTACATAGCTGTCAACCTTCCCTTTTTTGGTGGGAAATTCCCTTATTCCAGCGCCGTTTCCTGCTGCTATCCCAGATATCCTGTAGACTGTCCCCGGGACAGGTGAGGCTGCTGATCCCTTATTTTCAAATCTGAAAGTTGACAGCTATGCTTTGGTAATCCTCATAGAACTCTAGCCCAATGGTTCCATTAATTTGATTCTGAATTGATTTTAGAATGTGTTTCAATTAATTGATTGTGATTTTATGTAAACTGTGTTACTTTTACTGTTGTTAGCCGCTCTGAGCCTGGCTTTGGCTGGGGAGGGCGGGATATAAATAAAAAATTATTATTATTATTATTATTATTCCCTCCCAAGCCTCCTCGGGAGGAGAGCGATCCTGCAGAAGCTTGGGAGGGAAGCTGCGTGCCCACCAGCCATATATTTGGAGGGGCACAGTTGGCGGGCGTGTAGGGAAAGAGGAGGCCGCTGCCAAAGCCTCACAGCTCCCCTATTCGCTGGGGCGCCCCTGAGAGACCAGCGCCCTGGCGCTACGCACCACCAAGCCCTATGGGAAAGAAGGCTCTGCTAATAATGCACTGGGTCTCCCTGAGTCGGTATTTATTTATAACATTGGTATGCTGCCTTTATCACTGAGTTCTCTGGGTACAGCTTACAAAAATATTAAAAATACAGAATGCAAGATTGGCCAAGATACATTTTCTTCTTCAACTATGGCTACATGTAATATTTTAGCCATTTGTGCTCCCCTTAATTGCTGGAAGTTCTAAGCGGTATGCATAAAATAGTCCAAAAAGCGTACAGTGGATTAAATTAATTTAAATCAACCCCCAAAACATTGCAGAATTGCTGGAAGCGTCCCCCAAGGGTCATCCAGTCCAACCCCTTGCAATGCAGGAATCACAGATATACGATATACGATATCTTTATTGTCATTGTCCCATGCAGAACAGTGAAATTGAAAACTACATAAAACTACTACAAAACTACATAAAACATTCAAAAACCCATAAAAACTCTAAAACCCGATTTTAAAATACACTATACTATAGAGACCCCTTATGCTGCGTTTAGAACCAGAATTGCATTTGCGTAGAAACTGTTTCTCAGGCGGCTAGTCCTAGTCTTTATAACCCCGTACCTTCTTCCAGAAGGCAGAAGCTGAAAGAGATCATTTCCGGGGTGAGCACTATCCTGCGCTATCTCTGCAGCTTTCTTGTGGCGCCTGGCAGCATAGATTTGATCCAAGGTGGGAAGAGTGCACCCAATTATTCTCTCTGCAGTCTTTACAACCCTGGATAGCATTGGTTTTTCCCTGGCCGTGCAGCTCCCAAACCACACACACAGACCACAAGTTAATACGCTCTCCACAGTGCAATGGTAAAATGTCATCAACAGGTCCTTTGAGAGATTGTTTTTCCGGAGGATTCTCAGAAAATATAACCTCTGCTGTGCTCTCTTCATCAGATCTTTGCTGTTTTCTCCCCAGATCGAGAAACCCTGGCAAGCAGCCATCCAGCAGCAGCTCATTTAGCGCTTTTTGCCTTGAAAGGCCTAAGGAGAAGGCCATCGGATCTCCTGAAGAGCTTTAGGAGGCTCTCTCTGATCTCCTTGGTCCTCACCCCGTAGATAACAGGGTGGACAGCCCAGGGGAACAGCAGGTACATGACGCTGAGCAGGTTGTGGATGTCTTGGGAGGCCGACTTGGCCAGGCGGAAGACGATGGAGGAGGAGAGGCGGGAGGAGTAGCTGACGAAGAGGACGATCAGGTGTGTCCCGCAGGTGTGGAAGGCCTTGTGGCGGACGTTGCCGGAAGCGATCTTCAGCGCCGTGCGGATGATTTGGCTGTAGGAAGCCAGGAGGATGCTGAAGTCCAGGATGACGTCGACGCACCGCATCGCCATCCCCACTGCCTTGTTGATGGAGATGTCGCCGCAGGACAACCTCATCAGGGCCATGTGCTCGCAGACAAAGTGGCCGATGACGTCCGAGCGGCAGAAGCTCACCCGGGAAGACAGGATCACCACGGGGCTGACGACGAAAATGCTACGCAACACGGAGGCGAGAGTCAGCAACGCCAGCAGCCGGCCGGTCATGATGTCCACGTAGCGCAGCGGGTGGCAGATGGCCACGTACCGGTCAAGAGCCATCATCAGCAGGACGTTGCAGTCCAGGACGGTCGTGAAGTACAAGAAGAACATTTGCACCAGGCACTCGGCCAGCGAGATGCGGCTGGCGCGGAGAAGGAAGCTGAGGAGCATCTTGGGGAGGATGGTGGCCGTCCCACAGATGTTGACCGCTAGCAGCAAGGCGATGAGCAGGCACATGGGCGAGTGGAGGCTCTCCTCCGCCTTCACCGTGTAGATCAGGATGGAGTTGGCCGCCAGGATGACCACAAAGAGGCAGAAGAAAGGGATCGCAAGGAGCTGCCTGGAATCCTCTAGGCTGGGGAACGGAAGAAGGACGAATTGCGTGTAGGAGATGTTGGCAGCTCCACTTGGGGTCTCCATGCCCATTTTCGGGTGGGTGGGTGGAGTTCTTGCCCAATACTTAGGCAACTAGGGCCTGGGAAGGTGGAAGAAGAGGGATTTCTTATTTTTTTATAATAATAATAATTATTATTATTTAAAAAACAACATCTTTATTGCCTGTATAACAAAGTCATGGTTTTAACTTACAAAGTCATTGTTAACGATGCATTTTTCCTGAAATGGAAATTTGCCTTTGTATAAATTTAAAAAATAAAAAACGCATCAAGTTTCATCAATATATTCCTGCAGAATATTTAACAGGAAGTCTTCAATGATGGCAAATGACTTTATTTACACTTCTGGTCCTTCTCTGGGAACCAGCATTGTTATGTTTAGGGAAGGTTTTAATGTTTGATGCATTACGATATTTTAATATTTTGTTGGAAGCCGCCCAGAGTAGCTGGGGAAGCCCAGACAGATGGGCGGGGTATAAATAAATTGTTGTTGTTGTTGTTATTTCCACTTAGCAAAATCTGGTCTAGCTTTGTAATTCTTTGTCCTTCAGGTGTAATCTAAAACTCTGTAACATATTCCAGTACCATGTTGACAAAGCCATCAAATCCTAGGAGTGTGCCAACAAATTCTTTGTCGCTTTTCATCATGATGTGAATTTGTGAGCCTGTGCACTTGTCCACCAGCTCAAAAGGCAGAAGCTGAGATGGGCTGGTAGTCACATTGGCCGCCATTTTGCCGCGAGGCCTGAATAATCGAGTCCCGAGGGATTTCTTATTTGCCGGCACTGGTGGTGCTTAGCTAAAGATACAGTTTACAGCAGCATTTGCCTGCCTGGTGGATATCAGATGCATTGGAATACAACTCCCATCAGCCCATCAGTGGTGGCAAGGAATGACGTTGGCTTACTAAGCAGTACATGTGAGAAGGAGCCAGGGGTCTTGGTGGACCACAAGCTGAACATGAGTCAACAGTGTGATGCAGCAGCAAAAAAGGCTAATGCTATTCTAGGCTACATCAACAGAAGTCTATTGTCCTGATCAAGGGAAGTCATAGTCCCACTCTATTCTGCCTTGGTCAGACCACACCTGCAGTCTTGGGTCCAGTTCTGGGCGCCACAATTTACGAAGGATGTTAATAATAATAATAATAATAATAATAATAATAATAATAATAATTTATTTATACCCCACCCATCTGGCTGGGTTTCCCCAGACACTCTGGGCAGCTTCCAACAGAACACTAAAATACAATAACCTATTAAACATTAAAAGCTTCCCTGAACAGGGCTGCCTTCAGATGTCTTCTAAATGTCTGGTAGCTGTTGTTCTCTTTGACATCTGGTGGGACGGCGTTCCACAGGGCGGGTGCCACTACCGAGAAGGCCCTCTGCCTGGTTCCCTGTAGCCTCCCTTCTCGCGGCGATGGAACCTCCAGAAGGCCCTCAGAGTTGGACCTCTGTGTCCGGGCTGGACGATGGGGGTGGAGACGCTCCTTCAGGTATACGGGGCTGTTTAGGGCTTTCAAGGTCAGCACCAACACTTTGAATTGTGCTCAGAAACGTACTGGGAGCCAGTGTAGGTCTTTCAAGACCGGTGTTATGTGGTCTTGGCGGCTGCTCCCAGTCACCAGTCTGGCTGCTGCATTCTGGATTAGTTGTAGTTTCCGAGTCACCTTCAAAGGTAGCCCCACGTAGAGCGCATTGCAGTAGTCCAAGAGGGAGATAACCAGAGCATGCACCACTCTGGCGAGACAGTCTGCAGGCAGGGAGGGTCTCATCCTGCGTACCAGATGGAGCGGATAAGGTGGGCAGAGGAGGGTGACCAAGAGGATCCAGGTCTGAAAATCAAACCCTGGGTCAGTGCTGGAGCCTCAGGAATCTCTCACTGCTTGGAGATGGAGTGACGTGTAACAAAATGCAGATGTCGTTGTTGGGATCCTTGTCTAGGCAGGAAGTGCTAAAAGGATCGCTATGGCCCCACCAGAAAAGAAAATGGGGGTCGTGGAAGACCAACCTTACCTGGGAGCTGATGACTAGTTTTCTACTGCTCAAACTAACGGCTTCAAGTTACAAGAAAGGAGATTCCGACTAAACTTTCTGACAGTAAGAGCCGTTTGACAGTGGAACAGTCTCCCTCAGGACGTGGTGGACTCTCCTTCCTTAGAGGTTTTGAATCAGAGGTTGGATGGGCATCTGTCCATTAGGATGCTGTAGCTGAGATTCCTGCATTGCAGGGGGTTGGACTAGATGACCCTTGGGTTCCCTTCCAACTCTAGGATTCTGTGACCAGCAGCAAGACGACTGGACATACCAGGAGGGAAATGTTTGGCATTCTGATGTGGATCAAGGCAGGGGGAAGTGTCGTCACCTGAACCATAACTGGACCTGAACGCTCAGGGGAGCCAATCTGAACATGACATCATTCACATATTTTGCTTCAGGGTGCTATATTCCCCTCCCCCAAAATCCAAATAGCTAGTATGGGATACTCAGAACATAAGACCTTGCTGAATCAGCAGCAGGAGAGGAGCAGGCAGAGGGCCTTCTCAGTGGTGGCTCCCGCCCTGCGGAACGCCCTCCCATCAGATGCAAAGCAGGCTGACCCTTTATTTCCATCTTCCTGCTTTGCTTTGATCCTGCAAAAGGGAGAGGAGAAACAACCGACCAGCACTGATTTGCAACAGCTGTCCTTTGCACCAGACCTCTGGACAGGGAGATTAAAGGGTGGGGATTGTTGCTTTGATGTGAATGATTTTTGGACTAGGGGGTGTCAATGTTTTATTTTTGTTTATTTGTTCGTTACTGGGCCTGAGTATTGCTTTGTTTATTATATTATTATATTTATTATATTATTTATCATTATGTGGGTGGCGCTGTGGGTTAAACCACAGAGCCTAGGACTTGCTGATCAGGAGGTCGGCGGTTCGAATCCCCGCAATGGGGTGAGCTCCCGTTGCTCGGTCCCTGCTGCTGCCAACCTAGCAGTTTGAAAGCACGTCAAAATGCAAGTAGATAAATAGGTACCACTCCGGCGGGAAGGTAAACAGCGTTTCCGTGCGCTGCTCTGGTTCTCCAGAAGCGGCTTAGTCCTGCTGGCCACATGACCCGGAAGCTGTACGCCGGCTCCTTCGGCCAATAAAGCGAGATGAGCGCCGCAACCCCAGAGTTGGCCACGACTGGACTTAACGGTCGGGGTCCCTTTACCTTTACCTATGTTTTTGTAATGGTTGCTAAACGAAATATTAATGTGTCATATGATTCCCCCCCCTTTATCGTAATATGCATTCTATATCTTTAATAGAATCGCTTCGGGTGCCAAGTCTAATAAATGAAATGAATCAGGCCAGGGTCCCATCTAGTCCAGCTTCCTGTTCTCACAGCGACCGATAAAGGCAAACCCACAAGCAGGATTCGAGCGCCAGAGCAAGTCTCCCGTCTCCTGTGGGCCCAGCAACTGGGATTCAGAAGCACTGCTGCCTCAAACTATGGAGGGCAAAGTATAGCCATCCTGGCTACTACTACTAGTAGTAATTTTATTATTTATACCCCACCCATCTGGCTGGGCTGCCCCAGTCATTCTGGGCGGCTTCCAGCATTAGGGCTGCCATGATTCAAAAATATTGTGTAAAAACCCCACTGGATGCAACAAATTGGCCCCAAATCCTTAATTTGTCCAGGATTTCCTGGCTATATGGTAACCCTATCCAACACATATAAAACATCATAAAACATCAAACATTTGAAAACCTCCCGATACAGGGTTGCCTTCAGATGTCTCCTAAAAGTTTGGTAGTTACTTTTCTCTTTGACATCTGGTGGGAGGGCATTCCACAGGGCAGGTGCCACTACTGAGAAGGCCCTCTGCCTGGTTCCCTGTAGCTTTGCTTCTCGCAGTGAGGGAACCGCCAGAAGGCCCTCGGAGCTGGACCTCAGTGTCCGGGCTGAACGATGGGGGTGGAGACGCTCCTTCAGGTATACTGGGCCAAGGCCATTTAGGGCTATCAAGGTCCACACCAAAACTTTGAATTGTGCTCAGAAACGTACCAGGAAGTGGCATGGAAGAGGGGGGCTTTAAATCTATGTTCCTCACACAGCTCTGATCAGAAGTGGATGCCCCTTGCTTGGTTTTTTGTACTGATGCCCAAACAGTAAACGTAAAGGTAAAGGGACCCCTGACCATTAGGTCCAGTCATGGCCGACTCTAGGGTTGCGGCGCTCATCTCGCTTTATTGGCCAAGGGAGCCGGCGTACAGCTTCTGGGTCATGTGGCCAGCATGACTAAGCCGCTTCTGGCGAACCAGAGCAGTGCATGGAAACGCCGTTTACCTTCCTGCCGGAGCGGTACCTATTTATCTACTTGCACTTGACGTGCTTTCGAACTGCTAGGTTGGCAGGAGCAGGGACTGAGCAACGGGAGCTCACCCCGTTGCGGGGATTCGAACCGCCGACCTTCTGATCGGCAAGCCCTAGGCTCAGTGGTTTAGACCACAGCGCCACCCGCATCCAAACAGTACTGATGCCCAAACAGCACTTGATGCAGATGTTTTGGACTGCAGCCCCCATCGGCCCCCGAAGCAGAACATCTGGAGGCTCCTGCATCAAAGAAATGGGAATGGAAGGCCTCCTTGCCCCCAATTCTCCCAGAGCACAGTGGGTCACACGGGTCAGGGACCCACGGCACGGCTACCTCTGACAGCATCCTTTTTCCCTCCACCCCCCGCAATTCACATAACCTCTGAATATGCAGCCTAGCATTACTCACTGAGACCCAGAAGAGGTTGTGGCAGCCAGGCGATGGAGTTCAAGGCCTGTCTGGTTGCAAACCAGGTGCTTAAATAACCACGAGAGTGAATTCCTCCTGGAGCAACAGCAGCCGAGATGGTGTTGTCTCAGGTCTAGCTCCTAATGGTCCCAAAGGGGCCCAGTCTTTGAACCACTTCCTAGTGTTATAAGAATTCTAAAGTCTCAAATATAAATTAAATGTTCATAAATGTGCGAGGCAAACACATGCACAAGTATATAAACCACGTGT